GTATTACAATTTTAACAAGCTGTAGGAAGTACAATCTTCGCCACGATGGAATTTTAAAGAGAGCCGTCTTATTTTTTACCTTTGAAAAATGTCGTTTGTTCTAAGAAATCAAGAATGGCGTCAAGCTCTTATCTTCGGTCGCATTACCAGCTAGACGTGGACTTCGTAGACTAACAGCAGCCTGCTGTAATTCATAACATTTCTTCATTAAAGCCAGAATCCTTAAAACTCATTTCTTCTGTGCTATGAGTACCTGAGATTTATCCTACAGGTTAAATACGGCAGGGGTTCGAAGCTGAGTAATCATCTGCATCCATTTTTGAGGATAGGAATGACTGAAGATTCATACTTGAGCCCTCTACGCTCCTTAATAATCTACCACTGAGTAAAAGGGAGGGTGGATTTAATTACTACTACAACTACTACTACCACCTACACCAGTCCAAATTGTAACCAGGAACATATAGGACACAAAGGCCCACATAGAACGAATACACCTAAAAGGAAATGCAAAAAAAAAATCACGGTGACATATCCAAGAGGATAAGTTAACACACGCTAAAAATTAATAGCATAATCGTGAATAGCTTCTGTAACATACAGTACAACAGCGAACTCCGGGCGAAGGATAACGCACAATGGGGGACATAAACACAAAAACAACATACAATTTTACATTCGACTACAAGAAAGTTGTATATAATTTTGAATTTAAATTTAAATTTTGAAAATTTAAAATTAGAAAAATTCCTGCAAATTTGTGACGGTTTCATATATTATATGATTGAGATGAATAGCGCTAATGTGGATCCATATTAGCACAGTTCAATAAAGGAGACGTGTTTGATGGTACTACCTGAAGATGGTCCCGAAAGTGGACTTCACATGTAGCAACTATCAAATAAAACCAATATAAGCAGTTCGATTGATTTATTTTTGTTGTCGTGTTGGCAGTCAAATACCACCAATCATGAGATACAACAGGATGCAAACAGTAAAGACACAGGAATACACAGGAAAATTACTCAGGCTGTTACTAAGAAAAACACAAATATTACTAACAACCATCTATAGCAGCACGCTCAGAATGTCCTACTGTCCGGTTATGTTGTTTACTTTCCATACAGTACGGACAATTCTTCGTAAGATGAGGCACCGACTACACTATTAATTAATTTACAACATCATGGGCCTCCAATACATTCTCTATAAATGAAATATTCGAACTTCCAATTGGTCCATGGAAACGCATGAAAAGTAAAAAATCAACGACCGATTTGATGTTGTATAACATCAATTAAGTTTTATCTTGTTTTATACAATAACTTTAAATTTTTTTAATATAATCTGACTTATTCTATTTTTACACAAAGTATTTTAACATTTTATCCAATCTATTGTACAGCGGTTCAGTGGTATATGTTTGTTAATATGTGTTTGCCTGATGATGGCCGTTAGTGGCTGAAACATGTAGCGAAGCCATAGCTGGGCTCTGACCCTGATTTTTTCTATATGTTGTGTTTTGACGTTCAATAAAAGAGTTGTATATTGTAACACAACAGGATGCACGAAATGAGAATTATCACCAGTGGATGACTTCTCTACTCAAGACACCTACTTAGAACAAATTTAGGGGCCGCGCTATAGCTAAAGCGGTTAGTCACTGGCTTCTCACCGCGGCGGCCCGAGTTCAGAACCTGGGTCTGGTCAAGTGGAATTTGTGGTGAACAAAGTGGCGCTGGGGCAGATTTTCTCCGAGTACTTCGGTTTCCCCTGGCAATCTTCATTCCACCAATTGCTCCACAATCACCCTCACCTATCATCTGGGGCTGGTACAATATGCCAGAACTGTCCGCAGTACAAGGGACTTAGTCCCATCCCACTAGCAATAAAAAATAGAACAAATTTATTTATTATTCCATATTATCGACAGTAGATTGTATATATGTTATTAAATAAATAAATAAATAATATATCAGAGCATACAAGAAAAGTAAGCGGTTACAATAAGATAATTGTAATAATGTATTTGAAATAACAAAATGAAATACCGAAAGGCAGCGTGAATATAGAGAAAAACGTAAAAATGTATCTGCTTGCTAGTCGTTGCTTGGTATCAATTCTTACTTGGTTAACACTTCACAGCTGAATATTCAACTACTGAACTGCCTTCTGAATTCTGTTATGAGTGAATGAATTGAATTCATGATTGAACTTTTTTTTTATAAATTTGGGAGGACCGAATAGAAGTTATTGACTCCTGTATCCATTGTAGCGAAAACGCTTGGTGATTCCAGGATTCCTCGTATCCACGGAAACCTTTGCTGAATCTTTGTTGACATGAGAATGAATTTTAGCAAGCCGTTGCCTAGTGAACGGACTTATGCTTTTTCGTTGCTATTCCGGCTTTCAGGAAGTGTTTACCGAAACGTTTCCTAGCAAATGAAGATTGGAGCATTTGATACAAACCTCCCCCTGTACAAACGCTACAATATTATCCAACATTTTTAACGTGCACAACGTGCCCGAAGATACTTATGAATTGGACGAAATCAACAAAAATTTTCAACGTTAATCCTGGGAACCAAGGTTATCCAATATTTTATTCTTACCACATCTTATAGATCCCTCCACCTTTTCAATCCATAGTTTGTTTTATTTATCTCTGACTTTGTTTATCACTCGTCCATCAAACATACTTACTTGCTCAATTTTTCTTAAGCACTTTCCTCAGGGCTATATTTTATCGTCACTGCTGTAATATCTAAGCTTCTAATATCACGAATTCGTATGTCTATCTCGCTCATTCAAAACTGAGTTTCCACTATTTCTCTCTGTCTTGCCTTGTGGTTGTCATGCTCAACATTAAGGAACTTGCATATACATGTTAGTGCAAAAATGGTACTTGAAGCATATTTCGGATAAACATGTTATCTTCGATAGAATCTGAACCCTGATATCGAATCTCTCGTGCGAAACTTTGCCTCCAGGTCACCACCAACGATGGGGGTTCAGTCTAGACCTATAGGTTGGCAGTATTTCTACAGAGGGACACAGCGGCGTCGGTTTCATTTCCTATCCTCTAAAACAGAAGACGGAAACAGAACCAGTTACCCAAAGGAGTAGTTTTAATAAATTCGTAAGATATACATACAACGCAGAAAATAATTTTAAACAGTAATCACAGTTTAATTGTTTCTTGCATCCTATTGTGTATTTAATCAATATTAGGGTTAATTTCACAGACCCAACAACACGTTTTTATTATTGTCACACTACATGTTTCGACCTCAAGAGGTCATCCTCAGGTGTACGAACACAGTTGCACAATCACACGCAATCACATTTGTTTTTCCACTTATTTCGATCCTGTATCCTGTTCAGGTCTACGCTCAATAATATATGTCAAGTTCTTCTTATAAAATACAAGTTAAAATACTATTCAAATGTTAAAAGTTAAAATTAAAAAAAAAATTTCGTGAGTCGAAGTTCAATTTCGATCACTGGTTATACTTTCACATTAGCTTGTTTCTCTATATATAGTCCACTTTAACTAGTTATATTATTTCCACTGGTTAAAAAGTTCATAAATTAAGTTCAACTTATCATATTGGCTGCACTTTCACTTTTGAGGGTCTCGCTGCTCTTCCGCGTCCTCTGATGCTGGATATGTTACGTTCCTTGTCATGATGGCTCATACATTGATCTGCCTTTGTACATAACTTCCGTTACCACAAATTTCCAGCATGTACAATTTGTCAGATATCACAGCGCATGTCGCTCCTTTGCCATTTTTAACTTTCACAGAAAATTTCGATATATACAATGTTTCATCATAACTAATTTCAAATGTTGTGCTACAACAGCTCATCATTCTCTCGCTATTAATGGGAAAGTTAACATTACAGCTGCTGGTGACATTCCATTACACAATTATATATAGAGAACTGTTATTTTATTTCGAGAGCTATAGCCAAAGGGTTTGAAATAAAATGCCGCTAATGTATGCGCTACTAGTTATTCCATTGCTTTGCGACGGTGTGTAAGCCGTCTGTTCTCATACAAAGAGACTTTAAATAAATATACCAATACTGCTTCCACCGTACATAAGAAAAAATTTGTATTTGCTAAATAGGAGACATCAGGTTCTTACGAAAGCCATTTCGCCAAATTTCTTAACTAATTAACTAACAGACATCGATTATGATGAAGGAGGAGGAGGAGATCTCTGAAACATTGGTTTTTATGTCAGCATTGACACGGCTGATCTCCCGGAAGATTTCAGCATAAGAACGGTCTAGCTGGCAAACTAAATAACTACCTACCTACCTAAATACCTAACTAACTAATTAAGTAACCATCTAACTAAACAATTAGATCTACTGGGAAAAGTCCTTCTTGAGAAATTCATGGTCTGTCAGTTTCCCAATAAATTTCCTCTTTTTATAGAAATGGAAATTTCGTTATCACATCAAAGGGTGCAAAAATGATAAGAACAGTCTAGTTGGAAAATTAATTAACTAAGCAATTAGATCTATTGTGTAAAGTCCTTCTTGAGAAATTCATAGTCTGTCAGCTTCCCAATAAATTTCTTCTTTTTATAGAAATGGAAATTTCATTATCACATCAAAAGGCACGAAAATGATAAGAAAAATCTAGCTGGCAAACTAAATAAACAATTAGATCTGTTGGGTAAAAGCCCTTTTGATAAATTAATAGTCAGTCACTTTCCCAATAAATTTCCTCTATTAATATAAATGGAAATTTCATTGTCGTATCAAAGGTTGCAAAACTGATTCGTAGTTTGAGCCAGACTAATCAGTCCACAACGTAACAAAATATTTCTTTGAAATTCTACATAATGTTATCCTACTCTCTGGGGCAAAGTCCAAAATTTACTCCTCTCTTCGGGTTTTCAGATTTAAAGTTGATTCTCGTAACTCCCCCGTGCGCCAGGTTTCCTTGGCTACTCATTCCAAATCACATTGCATCTGTTGCAGTTGGCGCGGCCAAGACTGCTGGAGTTCGCTATGTTTCCCATCAGTTGGAGGCTTCATTGGTGTTCCCTGGTTCTCATTTTCATTACCCTGTTCGCCGTAGTGTCCAGAACCGGCGCTAAAGATGCCTGGGAGCGACCTGGCTGCCATAAAGTTGGTATGAAATCTGTCAGTATTTGTGACAGTCTGAATTATGTTACAGTTCTGACATGAGCGCGAGAGGCAGGTAGGCTGACATTGTATTGCAGGCTTATAATTTATTAAAATTAAAATGATGATGTAATTTTTTTGCAGAAACTTGAAAAGTGGGATGGAAAGAGATCTGAATAAATGAAAACTGTAACTGAAAAAAATAAGTCCGGGAGGAATACCTGTACTTTAATATGAAATGTATTAATGGAAATATATATATATACTTCTAAATTAGATTACACACGTGTTTCATATCCTGAACCACACTGGCATTGATGTTGCTGCTGAAAAAAAATCTAAAATTCCTATATCATGTTTTCCTACTGAAATGGCATGAGTCATCTATAACTAGAAACAATTTTACTTAAAAGACAGAAACTGAACGAAATTTTTGACGGAAATCATTTAACTTTCTACCATCCACCAACAGAAAACAGAAATTAGGCTTACGCGAGACAATAATGTAATAATTGAAAGATAATATTCAACTTTTGCCCAAAAATATACTTAAAAAAGAACACTTCCTTTATATTTACCCCCCTTTTTTGTATAATATTTTAGCTCATACAGAAACGTTTCACCTATATTATTAAATGGAAGTTACTTAACTTTCAAATCAACTCTGATCTTAGTATCATGAAAACTTCTAAATAAATATTGACACTGGCTTAAAATATCTGATCTTATGATCCTACAGATGCACCACTGTACCACAATATGAAATGAAGAACTAAAAACAACCCTTCTTAGAATTAATATATAAACAAAACGGAAGCACAAATTTTATTGCATTAAATTACTAGTTACTCGTGAGATGGTGAATATATGATACCCGTCTGATCATGGTCTGTTTCATAAATCGAAACATATAATGGTTAAACATACTTTTTAATATTGTATTGTCGCTTTTATAAATAAAACTATGTCTAATCTATTGTCACAGATTATTTTTACTTAATATATAAAATACATTCTCTTTAATGTTGATATTTTGTTGCCATAAATTTTTGTACTACTTTCGAACAGTTGCAAAATTCCTCTTCAGCCACTGTTGAACCTTAAGCCAGCATAATTATGTATAGTGAATGATTTATCGAAACCTCGAAAATCCATTAGCCAACCAGTGACGAAAATTAATCTAGGCTTTAGTAAAAACTAGCTGCAATGTGTTTCATACTGTACAGAGCAATAAATTATTGGGTACACTTGCACTCGCTCAAACGCTTAACATTTTAAAAAACGGATACCACAAAAGAAGGTTCTAATTTCATTCATGTGAATATATTAAGGTACATGCAATATGAATGCTTTTGACAAATAAATCCTTCTAAAAGTAACAGAAAATGTTTATGTTGTATCATAACTGCATAAGAGACAACAGAATGAAGCAAGGACAGACGAAAGAAAAATACTATTCACAAATGTTCGCTGCTCAAGAAACGGAAATTGTTATTCAGAATTCGGAATTGAATCATAAAATTGGAAAAGGTTTACGATGGTGCGTAAATTAGAGGAGTTTCACCAAAACAATTTTAACGCACCTCATGATGCCGTGTAGACTGAAACATGTCGTGTGAAAAAGGACAAATAAAGTGAAAGGATTTAGAGTTTTCAAAATTTAAATTAAATTTCGAAAGGTTAATTAACACCGTCCAGTGTGACTGATAAGCAGAGAGTGATAACTCGTATAGTATGTTCGACATCACAATAAAACATCAGTACACATCCACACAAACGTCATAAAGCAGAAGGAGTATAAATACGTGACTCAATACACGTCATGCAGTACAACAACACAGCGCGCCCCGAAAAGCAGAACGTCACTAAAGGTAGGATTGAACAGCAAAAGCTCACATTAAAGTAAAATTGGAATTCTGGGAATACTACATTATACCCATAATATACAGAATCCTATTCACCACACAACGGAACCACAAGTTTGTAGACGCCCGACTTCCTTCCCTCCCTTCCCCCCTTGGCACTATAGCCCCAGTGGGCCTAGGCCTACCTCCATGAACTTCTCCGTTCACTTCGGTTTTTCTAGATCTTACACATTCGGTAGGACTCCTTGGGCGGGTGATTAGCTCGTCGCAAGGCCTCTATCTGTACACAAACACAGAAAAACGCACACACACAAACTAAACATCCATGCCCTGAGTGGGATTCGAACCCACGATCCCGGTTTCCAAGCGAGCGAAGACAGTACATGCCTTAGACCGCTCAGCTACCGTGACCTACCGACTTCCTTCAAAGAGAGGAAATAAAACTACACGAACCAATTTGGTTTAAAAAATTAACAAAATTATTTTCCTATTAATTTTAATTTATAAATATTTTAACACATTAGTACATGCCGCTGTAGTTGTTAAAATATTAGATTTTGTATTAATTGTATTATAATAACATTGTATATATATATATTAATATTCACAAAACATATTGTAATAGTGGTTTCAAATTGTATTGATATCCTTCTGAAAATGGTCTATAAGACCGAAACATGTCAAGGGTGAAAGATTAAAAAGAGAAAAAAATGTTAGCAGTCAAACTGGACGGTGTTAATTAACCTTTATAATATTGCTAGCCTGACGGACCAGGATGAATCAAATCAAACTCATAAATTTCGAATTTAGAATATTTAATATAAGTTGCACGGGAGACGAATGGGTGAAAAAAAAGTTAAATTTAGGCTTCATACAAAATAGGTGTTTCACTTCACAGCTACAAATGAATATTAAATTCGAAGAGTTCACTCTTATGGGATATAATGCGGTGTAATCCGCTGAAAGCCAACTGACGTTTCTGAAGTACATATAACAGAGCCCTTCCTGCAGTCTATTTTAAGCAGGTTTCTTGTTGGAATTACTCTCTAGTCATGAAGATGGAGGAGTGGGTTGACTTACAACGGACTACATGACGTTATCTCCATGGAGATAACAACTACCGTGGCTGTAACGTAAATTTATAAGTATCAAATTCGACAGACCTCCCATATAGCGCGCATTTCCTGCACTTCTTGCGAAGGGTGTGTTCTCTCGTTGCAGGTCACACACGTAAGATCAGCATCCCAGACTGTGTAGAGTTTCACATCACAACAAACGCTTGTCGAGGTTACTGCGAATCTTGGGCTGTACCTTCTGCAATTGACACGCTGAGAGTCAACCCCCATCAAACCATCACTTCTGTGGGCCAGTGTTGCAACATCATGGACACCGAGGACGTAAGTAAAGATTTAATATGTCTTCTTGGAAGGGCAAGTACCTCAGATGCTTATTTGTACTATAAGTAGTATTACACTTTTCACATCAGCCTTCACAACACTTGACGAGCAGACTTAGAAGTGTGCTTACTTTCAAATAATTGACAATTGACGCTAGTGAGTCTTTAGGTCGCGCCATAGCTCAAGCGGTTATTTGCTGTCTTCCCACTCCGAGTACTTCGGTTTCCCCTGCCAATCTTCATTCCACCAAATTCTCCGTCGTCATAATGACCCGGGGAAGGCTACAATAGGCCAATCAATGGCCGCCGTGCCTAGTGGACCCAGTTGGACTTCACCCCCCACTAAGCGGATTCAAAATTTTAGCGGCCTTGCGACGGACCCATCCTCCGTCCAAGGAGTCCTATCGACTGCGTAAAAAGACCAAGAAACTGAAGAAGCGGCTAAGGTCCAACAAAGATAGATAGATAGATAGATAAATTACTATCCTCTTGTTACTGAATGTTACTCTGACGATGTGAACTTCTGAGAGAAATCAAAGAGCTTCATTAAAATATTTATTGAGATATTGGGTCTAATTAAGCTTTATTGCGATTTTGATAATGGAAAACTAGCACATTGGGAGTATTTAAGCAAAGAGAAGGAGCTTCATGTGAGATCTGACGTTCTCACGGCACTGACTATCAATAGTACCTGCTTCTGGGATGCGAGACTATGAGGAAAACAGAAGTGTGTGGACGTTTCAGAGAAAATTATTGTCTTCATTTTTGGTGTTAACGAGTACGCCGAGCAAGCAAACAAACAGCTGGCTCGACTTGCTCGTTAACCCTGAAGATTGAGGCAATACATTCCTACGAAACGTCTGTGAAATTCTATCAGAATAAGGGGCGTCACATTATAAAATAGAGTATTCTTCTAGAAAAAGTTACAGTTTTAATGTATCTGGATATTTCAAAGGAGAAGTAGAACATGGGTGACTTGTTCATGTCGCAACTTCAGCTCGCCTCACTCGTCGCTGCCACGCGTTGCGAATGTGGGTAAAGCAGCGGATTATGAACGCTTCAAGTGTTCTTTTTTTATACAGCTGTTACAGATTAGGCACTGTGGACTATTCTGATCCGGTATTAACTACGAAATCACGAATCTCTTAAATATTTCGTAGGGTTCATTCTACAGGGAACAGATACCATAAGGTTCTACCTAAAGAGAAAAACACTAAACAACATAGACGAACGCAGATATACATCCACGCTATGAGAGGAATAGTATCCAATATCTTAATGCTGGAGAAGCTCTGTACCTAATGTACGTTATATCATGCAGCTACTGTGACCGGCTTCCTTTACCCTTAGGTTCACATAATCCTTCATATTCTTTTTTCCCCGTAGGAACGCAATATCCGAATAATTCTGTTTCAATGTAAGATTTGAGGCTTTCACGGCGGTGACTATGAAGAAAGCAGTTTTCTGAGATTTGGCACCGTGTATATGTGGTGTTAACAGACGTTTCGGAGGAAACGTCTGTTAACACCACATATACACGGTGCCAAATCCCAGAAAACTGCTTTCTTCAATTCTGTTTCACTTCAAACAATGAATGTTAGTAAACTAGTAATATTACTGTCACGTGTATCAGTGACTAAGACGCGGTTTTGGATATTCACTAGTCGTAACTACAATTATTTCTTACACTCTCAAGATTACTGCAAGTGTAGCACATAAAGTCTTCAATGCTTCTTAACACTTCGTATCTGAATCCTCACAACTCCTTTCCGTGACGGCTTCATATCCTTGACTCAGGCATCTCAGCTATAACTGACTGCAAACGACCTTCACTGTCCCCTATAAACCTTCGTCATGGACCCCATAGAAAACAACTGTTATTGTAGACATATTTACAATTCTGTTGCTTAGCACTGGGCATGGCGCGGCTCACATTGAAAATACTTCTGTTATCAGAATTGTTGCGTAACCTGGCAACGGACTCTTTACCAAGAATTTGTCTTCACGGGAACTTGTTTACCAATCCGTTGAAAATTTCCAATTTGACTAGAGTGAGCAATGAAGGGCAATGAAGAAGCAGGTATGAAGTATAGGGGAAATATGAAAGGCATAAAAATTTCTATCAAGAAGTCCAAACGGAAGAGACAGAGTAGGAATCAATGTAAGGATTTTATTGAAACAGTTCTACTGAAGTAAGGAGTAAAGTTGTGAATTAAATTAAAGTGAATCAGAATAGGGTTTAATGGCAGGATGTGGCTACAATAATGAAATTCCGCGTTGAATAAAGTCGGTATTTCCTTTAACAGCTGACAGACTCTCAACTTATCGAGGACTCTGATATATGAACTTACTCGTAGTTATGTTCCACACTAAGTGACACTGCCCACTTACACGACAGTTTCTGTTTTATAACATGGTTTCGTTTCCTGCCATTTTTGAGGAAGAATTCTGACCAATTTTATTAGTTATACACTGGTGGTACATGATGTATTTATTTAGGTTATATACCCGGAAAAATCTAATTAGTCTCTATGAATCTCAAACGGCATTTGATAAGTAAATATCCATCTTAAGATTCCCATTATTTAATGCCAAAATTATTAAAAAATATATGCCCTAAAATTAATTAATGACACCTGAAAATTGCTAGTATTAGTTGAAATGCATTGTGGGAAACACAATGTAAATGCTCCTGGGTTTGTATCTCAGGTAATCCTACTTTGACACTGTGGGCAATGCTGTGAAGAAATTCAAATTTATGTGACATGTGTTATACATATGTTAATTGAAAAAATTTTTGACCAGTAAGACTGTACATTCTGGGCTGAATTAATACGGGAGTCGTTCATGACCCACAGTGTTAAAAAAACAGTTTGGTCCTAATACTAATCAGACATGTATACGTTAAATTTCATGCAAATTTCGTAAAGTGAAAGGGATACTTCATGAATTAATAGATATCAGAAGTGATAATACCGTATTAAATTACTTATGAAACTGTCCTATATACTCCCAATGTCACTGAAGAGTTAATAAGCACATGACGCATTGGTATACAGTATAATTTCAGGTCTTGTGTAAAAAACTTGTATAAGCGAATGTGCAATGTTTATACAATTATATGGCACATAACTGCAAATGGTATTTTCGATATTCTAGGTGGAGGTTCGGGTCATGTGTCTGGATGGAACTCGAGACTTGGTTTTCAAATCAGCAAAGAGCTGCTCCTGCTATCACTGCAAGAAGGATTAATCGTTCGGAAAGAATAACATGGAATTCATTTATCCTCATTTTGACCTGCACTCTGCTTTGCTTCACTTTTTTCCTGGACGGATGAGAAAGAAAATTCAACACAAAACAGACACTGGACCAAAGAAAACATAAAATTTAAATTTACAAATTACGATATTTTGTTGATTTGTCAAATGATTCTAATGTCTTTAATTAATATTTTAACACCCCAATCAGTATGGATGTATTGTGGCTCCAGTAAAGTGTATATTGTATTGTACAGACTGAAATAAAATTACACTGTTGATATATGTCAAGCACATGAATATAATCCATTATTTTGTGTCACCACTCGCTTCTGGTCCTTCCAAAATATACTTTGTTAACTAGTAGAAGCAGATCCATCCAATAACACCTTATTCTTAGGATTTCATGATTTTTTAAAAATTTTGGAAATCTTAAGAATATATAAAATAAAGTAAATTTCGAGCATCTTCTCGAAAAAAATGTTTAAATGTACACCCCACTTTCTTTTTTCTTTTCAGATTTTTACCAGTTACCGGTGATTCATTCTGTTGTGCCAAATTTTGTCCATCATTTCTCTATGTATGTTCATAAATTGTACCAGAATATTGTCACGTGTCCTGATTACGCGGTTAATAATCCATAGTTCAGGATTAGATTAATTGATTTATTGGGCAGACATCAGTCATAACTAAAATAATTATAACACTTCAACGATTACTGGAACAATAACACATAAGATAAAATCTTCAACACTTCAATTCTTGGGTGCTCCTGGAACGAATTCGGTGATTTAAGGCTGTCCGAAGCCAAGTCCAGTTCCTTAATTCCGTAAATCCGCAATCCTTACATTAATTAATTGTCGAAGCCAAAGTCACATTGTGACTGACAGTCAGTCTGTCTGTCTTGGTGTCGAGCCCTGTCTGGGGCTCATGAACGGATATTTATTGCTGTTTGAGAGTTACAGTATATAAAATGCCTACAAAAGCATGCAGTCTACACAACAACATTCTCTATTTAAAAAACAAAGTAGACACTATCATATCAACACTTTTTTTATTGAAGCTACATGTTTCGACCCGTATACTGGGACATCATCAGGCGTAGAATGATACCAGACTCAGTTGTTGAATTGCATCTAAATATTTAATAAGGACCCTTATTGTGCATTTGAGGGTTTTTAAATGCATAAACGGAGTATTCCAGTTAAAATTTTAAAATACTCAGATAATAAAATTAAAAAATTAGAGACTACGGATTCAAACATAAAAATGAAAATTATACTAAAATGGAAATGAAATATTTTGTGATACAACATAACGATATCAACACAGGAAGTAGCCCGTACACAGATCATCATAAGAAAATCTAATATATATCACTCCAGACAAACAACCTGTTGGGTGACATACAGAATAACGAACATATGCTTCACAAGACAATAGTAAGATCAAGACCACACGACCTGACTTATGTGAGAAGATCCCAATGCGCAGGCGCCCCACACTGCAGTGGCTTCTACCACCAGAAACGTCCACACATAGTAGTCACAAAGTTTTAAGAGATTTGTAGCAAAATTTTTCATTTCCATTTTAGTACAATTTTAATTTTTATGTTTTAATCTTTAGCCTCTAATTTTTTAAATTTTATTATCCGAGTATTTTAAAATTTTAACTGAAAGACTCAATTTATGCATTTAAAACTCTCGAGTGCACAATAAGGATCCTTGTTGAAGAATTAGATGCAAATTGTTAGATACAATTCAACAGCTAAGTCTCTTATAATTGTACGCCTGATGATGACCCAGTATAAGGGTCGAAACATATAGCGTCAATAAAATCAAATGTTAATACGATAGTGTTTACTTTGTTTTAAATAGAGAATACTGTTGTGTAGACTGCATACTTTTGTGTATATTTTATGTACCATGTTTATAACACACAACAGGATGCATAGTATTAAGCTAGAACACCACCTCGAAGAGTTGATGTTATCCTGTTCTTCCATTACCACGAAACGTGCTTACCGAACCGTTGCCCAGCAATGAATTATTCGGTGTATATTCGTTGCAGAGGGAAGGTGTGTTTGGCGAGCCGTTGGTTAGCAATATACTTCTCCTCTGTCTCCACTATTCCGGCTTTCAGGCTTCATGTCACAATGTTAACATGCAATAAAACCCCAAGGAAACACATTTATTTTAATATAACATAAAACAAAGAATTAGATGATCCAATGATAGATCAGCCAGTGAAGAGGCAGGTAGACAATTCTTCTACAATGATTCGATTCCAGATAAGCGCAGTTTGCTTATATGCTATGGTGTCTGCCTACCCTACTATGCAATGGGTAACAGATTACCGAGAATATATCACCTGGAGTGTGAAGCTGGACACGAGCTGCTTAGTTAATGATTTTTGGGGTGTGGAGAACTTTAGTCTAATTCCTCAATCTAGGATACCCTAATATTCATTCACTCACAGTGGCTAGGAGCAGAGATGTCTTCGTCTTCAAAACTGAAACAACAAGAATGCTAATATGATAGTCACAAGACACGTCTACCAGAAATTTTTGATACCTTTTTCAAGAAATGATCCTCTTCGAAAATTCTATTTTAATTTCCATAACGATTACAGTCAAGGCTGTTGCATACATTAAGAGTATATTAAATTCAGGATTCTGAATGCACTAAGAATTTGAATGAAAGCGTTATAACCGCCAACCTAACTAAACTGAATTTGCATGAAATTTAAATAAAATAGGTTTAATAAATACTGGTCACATTGTGAGACGCACGGAAGATAAAACAACCATAGAGAACCCTGTGTAAATGAGGCGGTCTTTCCGGTGAGTGTAGCCTCTATGCACATAGAACAACAAAAGATGGCTTATTGCACTGATATTCCACACACGCGTTCCTTTCAGAAGTTCATGAAAGGAAACATATGACGTATAAAATGGCTTAAAATTTACGTGGTTCCTATAGATAGTGAAAATAATTTAAAATTGAATTTCTTCACAATTTTATATTAAAATTCATTTCGTACCTCACAGGAAACACATAACTGCTTAGCTACATAGCTCAACCGGTTAATGTTGTTTATGGAAAGAATTATTATTTATTGTACAAAACACATCAATACACTTTATGGATAGAACTCAGATGTTAACACGTACATTAAGCAAGGCAGTACATTTAGCAACCAGTCAACTTTAAATGGGATAAAATGGACTAACAGAAACTTCAATTAAATTCCATGCTCTCCCAAATAATAGGCTCGAAGTCACCAACATATATTTCATAACCCAAACTGACATTACATTTAAAGCAATGCCATAAGAGCATTATGATTTTGTTATGTGTCCGGGGTTTCGACGCCCTGTTTCTCACTGCAGTCTCCATACTCTGGCTGAATGACGCAGATCTGATCGGTTGATGGGTTATTTAAGATTTTCTCACCGCTACGTATTTTACAACGTGGAATACTAGGGTGGTGGTTGAAAGTTAAATTGGACAGGATTTGGAAGGGAGTGGTAGTCTGCTAGCCGAGGTACTACACGGAATTTGTCTGGAGTGACCACAAGAAATCCCAGTCAGAGCAGCCGGTGTTCCGACCCAAATTGGAACTTAACGCCATCCGAATAGAAATTTAAATCGCTACAGACAGAAGTGAATCCCATTGCGATGCATTGGAGCCATTCCCTTAACCGACCCGTGCTGCTGTCGAGTCCTGCCTGGGACCCTGACCGACCTCGTCGTCTTCGACGTTTATGATTATGTTCCAAAAGCCCCTGAAAGAGAATAATTCCTGTAACTTCTGCTGTCGGAATGTGATACTACATCCCAGAAGACAGTAATCGTTGAGATAGCCTCAAACCTCGCATAATAACCTTCTATGGGGTGGCTACTTTGTTCTACGTTAATATAATCCAGACTCCTCAAATCAAGAAATCAACAACGTTGGTAGTCTTCAAACATTTAGATGGAATCACACCTCATAACCACCTCCGTGAGAACCAAACCACACATTTTATATTCTTAATTTAACAATTTTTGCAATTGCTAAGAGACGGCTTACATAACTTCAAACTTTTAATTGGAAGCAATGAACAAAAGATTGGAAATAGTGCAGAAGGAGGCTGTCGTAATCTGATTTTATAGCTTTAAAGCTATCCCTGTAACACGCCGTGAAGACCCGTATTGTTTGAGACGTCGAAGCTCCAACATTTTGTAGACACTCAGCTCATAGATGGCGGTGAGGTAGTCAGCTTTACGCGCCAGCCGCCCTTTAACTCCAGGAAGATTCCTGGTACTCATTTCCATTAGAGGCTGAGTGGAACTCAGGACCACAGTGCGGCTGGAAGGACTAGATCAATTGAAAATCCAATGGTCTCATCAGAAATCGAAATCGTGTCCTTCCGGCTTGCAGCATAGTGCCTCAACCAACTTCATTACCGCGCACCCAAATCTGACTTAAAATACTGAAGTTATATTTATCTGATGTAAATGAGTCAAATCACAAAACACTTCGAACTTGCCTCTCTTTGGGTTGAGTGAACCCGTGGCCAATCTATTGCGACATTCGTTCCAATAAAAAAGTAAGCGAATTTAACTATTTAACAAATTTTTAGAAACCGACATCACTGAAGTGACATAAAACGGCGAACAATCTTGAATAGATAAAGATTACGAATTACGAATAGTTAAAATAGCATCCAGAGAGTACATAATAAATTATTCAAAATGTTGCTTAAACATGTCGCAAAATTGGAAAATGCATAAAGGTGTTATTAATTTATAATTCGTAATATTGTCATAGTGCACATTTTTCACCTGAACGTATCAAGAGTCACATAATTCCATGTATGCCTTTCCCGAATTAATAACTACGAGTACATTTCTTTACTATAATCAGCTGATTTACCTCCTGTACTACCTTAAGATGCTGTGACAGGCATGGAAATGTTGAAGCTTTGGTTGTCAAGGAAAGAACTATGGATCTCTGAGAAAAATACTCTTATGTTCCACTTTTCCCACTATATGTCCAAGAAAAAACTGCCCTAGTACTGAATGCCAGATTGTCGTAATTTCCTCATGAAGCAGGTCTAGGCACAGGGACTAAATTTCAAACTTTTTTACAGATATGCTTGTTCCACATCATTGCTTCACACTTGTAATTTGATATCCGATAATTGTGACACTACTCCATATAAAATAGTTTTACTACTGCTATTTAAAATTCTATTTTTTTACTGTCTAATGACACACTATAAATTTCTGCCTCGTTATCATTTCCGTGGAAAC